GGACCAAGACTCTTCCTTTGGAATAGATTTATGGTAACTGTTGAGCACTGCGAGCCAGGCCATGTGTGCATGGGGACCCTTCATGCAGTTCAGGAAACACTTTAAACGTGTACTTGTCTGTTGGTGTAGGAGAAAGCCAGCTGGGTAGTGTCCATCACATGCCCTTGGCATTACGGTGTGGGCTCCCCACGCCTGGCCTCAGCCGGTAAAAACCTGGTAGTCCCGTTCAGCGCGTTACGGCAGCTTACATGAGCTGTTAATAACCAGGATGGTTTTGGTGTGAGTCAGAAACAGGGGAACTGGTGGAGGGAATCCGCGGTGGTTTGGTCCTGCACTGTCAGACACGCAGGTCGCACCCTGGCCCTGTGCCTCTGTTCCCTCACGGTGCCAATGTCTGAACCCCCCTTGGCATGGTAAGTGTCCCTGGGGCTGATGTCAGCGCTGGCGTTTTGGGGTCGGTGTGGGGGATGTAGCCTTTATATTTAAAATAGTACATTTCTGAGGGCTGCACTCACTTCTCGGTGCTGAAAAGTTCCGTGACCTGGAACGCCCCGGGCACGATGCGGTGAGTGCTCCATCTCTGCGCCTCCTCGTCTCGGCACTGCTGCGCACCTCGGCCGCCCCGATAGCTGCTTCCACTTGGCATCAAACTTGCTGGAGAATATGAGGGATAATACTCATCAAAGGGCGCCAGCCCTCGCATTTATTTGCTTCTTACCATCTTCTCTGGGTATTTTTTTGGGGCTACTGATGCGTCTGAGCCCTTTCTGCCTTCTCCTGGAGTGGTTTAATTTCCTTTGCTGCCTGGATCCATCATGCAGCCCGCAGAGCCTGTTTGTTGTGGTGGAGTGTTGGTTTTTTACAAGCATTTTTCATATCTTCTCTGGAATACCTCTTGTAACAGGGTGTGTTTTGACACTGTTTTGCTTTGAGGGAAGCGCAGTGACTGCAGAGGTGCGACCGTTTTGATTTCTGCATATTTAATATTTAGTAAATAAATGTTCTCCATAGAAATGGATGAGAACAGAAGCAGTTTGTGTTCTCTTTGAACATTCCTCCGAAGACCTGAAGGTGTGAGTTAGGCTCTCGCATAGTACCCAGCACTGTCATGGCCAAGTACAAACACTATAGGGGTAAAACATTATTTAATGCTTTGTGACAGACACATCAAATATCTTTTAACTGTTTAACCAGTGAGGAAATGAGACAGATGCATCAGCAGTTTGGAAGGCATTTCATTCTCTCTGGAGCCCAGTCCTGTTTCAGCCTCAGCTGTGTAAAAAACCCTTAGTGCTTCTGCAGAGCTTCGCTGTTCGTATTGAACCCTGCCAGATTCCTCTGGACGAGGCTGTTGCCGTCACCTCTCTCATGAAGATGGTGTCTGACTTGTGGAGATGGAGCAGTTGGCCTGGTGTGTCGGGGCGAACATCTGCCCGAATACGTGAGGAGGACGGAGGGAGCAGCAGAGCTTTGTGCGGACACAAGAGCTGAGGAACGGCTGAAGCTCATCCCTGGTGTGCGGAGCGGTTCGGGCTCCCGTGTTTTCCACCTGCTGGGTGTTGCTGTGTTCTCAGTGTCACTCGTTTTCCCGTGCTGGTGCTGTTTGGTGCCTCGGTGTGGTCAGTGGCAGGGCTCGCTCACCGCCCTGTTGGTTTAGACCGTCCCAGGCTCGCCCTCGGCACGGCAGCGTGAGCAGTCCTGGGGAGGAGCTGGCTCTGCCTTAGCTGCCTGATGGCGGTTGCCCGAGAGAAGACGTTGAGATGCTTGTGCAGGGTTGGAAACTCGCTGGCTTTTCCTCCTGGCTTTGGGCAAACCATTTAATATCTCCCTGTTTCCACTCCTGTGTCTAAAATGGGGTTACTGGCACTGGGGTTAGTGGCCAGCGGTGGTCTCCTGCAGCCCCTCCTCCGGCGCAGCTCTGCGGTGGGAGACACACCCATGGATTTGGCTGCTTCCATGGTGTTTTGGCCAAAACCAGCTTGCTTAACCTCCAGGGTGGGGGTTTATTTCTCAAGTTGAACACTGTAATATTTCCACCCCTTGCAGGAGTGTTACCAGACTTAATGAATTAATATACAAAGAGCTTTGAGCTCTCCAGATGAAAGACGTTGCAGAAGTGCTAAGGATTATTATTTGTGGTTCTAATTTATTTTCCATCAAAGGGATGAGAGGGGTGAGAAAATGCCATTTGTTCTGGAGCTGGGAGCAGGGGTTTGAAGTTTGGTTTTTTTTTTTTTCTTTTTTTCTTTTCCTGTCCCCTTTGTGTGTTTCTCTGAGAATTTTGTGGAAACCCCTGCTCTGTCTTTTCTTCTCTGGGCAGCAGTGTGGGAAGCAGCCGGCACGGTGCTAATCACCAGAGACTTCAAGGGCTGTTGCATGTTAGGAGAGAGTCTGCCCTGGTTTTTGGTAGCAGCCGATCTCTGGGCATTGCAAATAACTGCTGGCTTCAGTGCGAGTTCAGCCTTCAAAGGAAAAGGAAGAATTCACATGGAATCTTTCTAGAAGCATCTGGCATTACCCTGAGCCCTGTCTCCTCTGATACAGTGGCATTCAGCAATTTTCCTTTGCAATAGCTCAGTCTTGTATGCTTTGGGAATTCCCACCCTCGGACAGTGGCAGATATTTGCTCCTGGAATTACTTTTTTCTAGCCAAGTAGCAATAATTTCCAAGGGGGTAGGAGAACAACAGCGAGGGGCGTTGAGAACCCTGGACTGGTTGTACAGGACTTTGTGCTCATATTGCCTCATGGGAGAGACTCAAAGCACTGGGACAAGGTTTCACCCCGAGTGGTGAATAGAAATTTGCCCCGATTCCTTGGTTTTTGTGTTACTTGCTGGTTTATGGAGGCAGTGCTGTACCAGTTCTTAACTGCCCATGTTTTCAACTGATAAGATTAGAAGCTAAATAGAAGCAGGATAAATGGTGGATTATGATCGTTCAGTAGTTCCAGCAAAAATCCTCCTGATTTCATGTGTGGTTTCACTGCTTTAAAAGACTAGATGGGGACAGGCAGGCTGCGCTTGTGTCTGTGAGCGGGAATCGGCCCGTTGTGGTTTTACTGGTGCTTTTAGCACAGACTAAACCAAATACAGCTCTGTGTGTGACCTGATCCGAGCTGAGGGTTGTCTCTTCAGATCAGCAGAAAGCACGAGATGACTTCTTTGGCTGGAGCTGCTTTTGGCACCAGCTGAGTTTCCATGTTTCACTTTGAGTTTATCAGTGCTGATGTTCTGATGCAGAGTCACTTTTTGTGCCTTTCTGCATCAGTTCAGCAATGCCTGTGGATGCTGTAGAGCTGGAGAAGGTGCTTCTGAAATGCCAGCTCCCAACAAGGAGTTCTGCTGCTGGGAAAGTGTTGGTCTCATTTCGGGTCATTTGGGTTACATTAGCAATTGTTCTTCTCTTCTCTGTAGCTTTTTGTGCCATGCTGGTCCTTCTGGCAGTGGTTTTGCTGGGGCTCACTGTATGCCTGCCCATGCTGTGCCAGGGTGGTTTTGGTTACAACCTGGACAGTGAGGACTTCTCACTCGTTCTTTAATCTGTGTGGCAGCAGAGTCTTAACTTCTGTAACATAAATTGTCCTGTGGCAGTTTGCAGGTACTGTGATAAGGGTAATCTGCTGGCAAGGGTTAGTTGGGTACTCCGTACCATGGGAGGTATTTCTCCTGGGATCCCTGTTTCTCCCTGTGACCTGCAGCTCTCCTGCACCTGGGGACATCTCTGCAGATCACGGTGCTTGTGTGCAGAGGCACCTGAACAGCTTCAGAGCACGAGTGTATCGTGCTGCTAACGCCCATGCGACCAGGGTGTGCTGGGGATGTATAATCATGAAACTCCTCACAGAGGACAAAGCCATAATTATCTAACTTTACATCCTCTACCAGGAACACCAGCCCTCTCTTACGTCCCAGAAATAGATGTGCTTCAGTTCTGGACTGCAGCCCTTCTGTTTCACTGTGAGCTCCTTACAGCCCCATTATTGTGGCTCAGGCTGGTGCATCATGCTTCTGCTTCCAGCCTCCTCTCCGTCTTGCCTTTCCCTGCAGAACAACATCTGTTGACCTCCAAACGTTGGGTGCTGCTTTGGTGCCTGTCCTTGTCCCTGCTCCCAGGGCAGGCTGCTCGCAGCAGAGCCAGCCGGTCGGAGCTGGGGAGGTTTGCACTGTGTCAGGGCTCCTGTTGGGGACAGAGAAGGGAGTTGCTAAGAGTTGCTTTTTGCTCAGCTGTGATTAAGTGTTCAGAGCTGCAAATCCCTATGCTGTTGCTATACTTAACATGCCAAACTCAATTAGATTGAGAAGAGAGTTTAAAAACAGGCTTTTGTCTAATGTACAGTATTTTGGCAGCAATTAGCTCCGAGTTTTATCATTCTCCCCAAGGTGAACATGAGAACGATCAGTTATGCATGAGAAACTGCTCCATCGTGAGAGAGGCAGGCAGCTTCCTAGTGAGGATAAAAGGGTTTGCACCTACTGCAGGGCATGTTCTTTGGTGCCACCTTGCTCCAATGTCCGTCTGTATTTGGTAACTTTGGGAAATGGTTTCTTTGTGTAAAAAGTGCTTGCAGGGCAGTTCACGAGGTGAGAAGGAAATCACTGGGGACAAACCATGGCACGGGCCCTCTGGCCATTCCTTTCCTGCTGCAGGGCACAGGTTTTGCCACCAGTGAGGCCCCTGGGGTCACCTGGCCCTGGCACGGTGCTGAGCAGGTAGCCAGGGAGAACTGTGCTCTTGGGTGATTTTTTCCTCTGTCCTGACTGAGAAGATCTGTGCCCTTCCCAATGAAATGAAGGGTGTTAAACCCCAGTGCTGTGGCGAGGGTCCGGTGCCGGGTCACCGCCGTATCTGGCTGTTTGTTCCCTGGTTCCTCTTCTCCTTCAACCCCCTTTCCTTCTTACCTTTTCCTGTGGTACTGCAGTACTCTGTTAATATACCCTGGTACAACAGGGCTGGTGTTTCTCTGGAACACAGAATGTGGTTTTGGGCTTTTAGTGTACAAATGACCGTGCAGAACAAGGGTGGGAGTGTTTGTGTGACCGGACCCTTCCTCGGTGTTTCTCAGTGCTGTGATCTGGGGTTCCACGCCAGCCTCGCTCGGACGTTCAGGACATACCTGTCTGCTGAGTACAACCTGGAAACCTCCCGCCATGAGGGCCTGGACATCATTGAGAACGCCGTGGACAACCTGGACGCACGGAGTGACAAGCACACAGTTATGGACATGTGCAACCAGGTCTTCTGCCCTCCACTGAAGTTCGAGTTCCAGCCTCACATGGGGGATGAGGTAGTGTACTGACGCGAGGGGCTGCAGAGGTGTCTCACAGCCTGGCCTGCCCTGCCCTGGCTTCTTCCTCTTCTTAACCATCACTGTTAAATTGCTTCTGACTCCTTATCCCTCTGTGCTCTCTTCACACACTGCTATTCGTGTTTCCTTTCTTAACGAGGTGCTTGGCTCCTTAGGGCTCCTTCTTTCAGTCTGCCTCTTGCTCCATATCTCTCCCAATTAGGAAGCCAGTGGTTTGATTCTCAGCTGAACTGCCCAACAGATTTGCAAAGTAGAGCTTTGATTTACCTGCTTTAATTAAAAGACTTCAGATTTCCTGTCAGGTAGAAAGTGCATTGTACTGGCCCGGGTCCAGAGCGCTGCTGATTACAAACTGGGTGATGCAGCTTCCCTGGAGGCTGTGAGGAGCTTGTGGGTGCTGAAGAGAATCATTTAGGGATTTAAATGTGTATGTCTGGTCAGTGCATGACCCACTGAATGCTCTCCTGTCTCTCTCTGGCACCGCTCCTGTCTCAGGTGTGTCAGGTCAGCGCCCAGCAGCCTGTGCAGACTGAGTTGCTGATGCGGTACCACCAGCTGCAGTCGCGACTGGCCACCCTCAAGATAGAGAATGAAGAGGTAAGAAGTCGCTCTGGGTCTTGTGTTTGGCCTTGTAGGTGGCATTGCTGAGCCTTGTGCCCCTTATGCAGGGGGTCTCGTGGTGTGCTCAGGTGTGGAGTCCTTCCAGTGATGGTGCTGAGAGCTCCCATTGACTGCAGCTAGTGCAAGAGCAAGCCCAGGGCTTAGGAGCTGCCTGTCGGCCAGTTGTTTTGGCTCAAGATGAGTCACTTTCCCACTCTTCCTCAAAACCATGCTGTCTTCTGTTTCTGATAGGTACGAAAAACTCTGGATGCCACTATGCAGACTTTGCAGGACATGCTGACAGTGGAAGATTTTGATGTTTCAGATGCCTTCCAGCACAGTCGCTCCACTGAGTCGGTCAAATCAGCTGCATCGGAGACCTACATGAGTAAAATAAACATTGCCAAGAGGAGAGCCAACCAGCAGGAAACCGAAATGTTCTATTTTACAGTGAGTCTCATCTCATGCGTACAGGACACAAAGCTTTAATTGCTAGAGCTGAGTCCCATTTTAAGTGCTCATTAGTGAAGAGCAAGAACCAATTCAGTCTCTTTAAGTATTTGTCTTCTGTCTGATTTGGGGTTGGAGCGCATTTCTCAGCGGCAGGGTAATACACAGGGGCTGATGGTCCAGTGCCTGCCTTGTTCTTCTTTTTGAAGGGACTGGGGCAACCAGTTGTGACCAAAAACTTACAGATCTCAGTAGGAGGTGGCTCAGAGCAGAGCAGCAGACTCCAGCCAGCCTGGCCGTGTGCCACCATTCAGTGGCTTTTCCTGGGGGCCCTTACAGTTTGAGCCATCAGCCAAGCCTTCCTTTTGTGACCTACACAGCTGCAGCCTGCCCTTGCCCCACGGGTGAGATGAGCGGTCCGTTTGCCTCGTGCAGGGTATTGGAGGAAGCAGCTCCAGCCTGGCTTTGCAGTGCCACGCTGCTGCGTGTGCTGGGACAGAGGCAGCTGTGCCGTGCCTGCCCTGCAGCCCTGGGCCCGTGCTTCACTTCAGGCAGACCTAAGGCTCTCTGTTGTGGTACCTGAAATGGAGGTAATAAGCCATCAGGTCAGCAGGAGTAGCCCTCACTTAAGTGTGGTTAGTAGGCTAAAGTTAATAGCATCTCCTGATACATTACAGATGCGTAGAAAAGCTTCTACTTTCTCTTAACTCTATTATCACTCCAATTCAGGGGGTGGGGGGAATTGCAGTTTCCATTTTGAGTTGTGCTTGGATTTTTTTAAAGCTTTTTGCAAGAATTTGATCTTTCCCATTCTCTGACTCATTTTCCATCTCTGTCTCCCTCACTCTTCTTACCTGTAAAACTGTTTGCTCCTGAATGATTCTGGATGTCAGACAGTCTCAGTTCAATGAGAGGTTGTGCTGCACGGTTAGTGTCACCCAGTGCATACAGCACCTGATGGTCCCTGCCCGGGGAAGCTCTCATGTCCTGGGAGTTCTTGCTCTTCATCACTTGCTTGCAAAAAGCAGCTGTGGAGGGGAAACCTCTTTGATTTGCCAGGCCATTCCCAGAAGCCTGACAAAAGAAAGCTTGCTTTGAACTCTTCTTTGGAGCTCCTCGTGTTCCCAGGCAGGAGGTGCAGCACCAAGGAGACCGGGCTAATAAGATCATCAGGGCTGTGGCTGGAGCAGTGAGAAGTGATTAGACCGTGCTCAGCCCTGCGGTGCGTCTGACGTCGGGTTTGTTAGAGCCTGGCAGCCTGGCTGAGCCCCCTCCAGCACCCCCCAGGCAAAAGCTTACATCAATTACCACTTTTGCCAAGAGTCTTAACCCGCTTTTTTTGTTTTATTTTTAATTCCAGAAATTTAAAGAGTATTTGAATGGCAGTAACCTTATCACGAAGCTCCAGGCTAAACACGACCTGCTGAAGCAGACTCTGGGAGAAGGTGAGTTGCAGGGTTAGGTCTGGGGGGAACCTCCCATCTCGGGAGACTATGTGAAAGCAGGTGATAGCTTTCCATCTTCCCTGCTGCCTGTGTTTTCCTGAGTGACTGACGGCTTCTGGGGCTGCCTGCTACTGCTGAGTTTAACCAGTGACACACACAATTGTTATTTTCCTGGGATGTTACTCTTGTCCCACGTTTCTTTAAGAGTGCACATGAAGACATTTGTTTGAACCTTACACTGTGTGCCAGAGGGCTGTGTCACTTCTCCAGCAGCAAAGAGATTCCCACCCACTCCAGCCCTCTCCCTTTTTCCTTTCTCTCCCCCTTCCCATCTTAGTGCATCCCTGAACATGTGTGTTTTCTTGTCCTTGATGCTGTGCTTCTGTGTGGCCAATTTGCCAGCAGCCTCAGTGATTTAATAAGCCTCTTGCCCCCCGGCCATAGATTTTTTTACTTGCCCTAAACCAGAACTGCAAAATTATCTTTTCTTTGTAAAACTAAATTTTCCGTAACAGGCTCTTACTAGTTCGGATAATTTCAGCACTTTGGTTTAGAGCACATACACACAATCAGGCTTCATACGACAGAGGGGGCAGTAACTTCTGAAGGAGGCAGGAGTGTGTGGCTCCAGGTGGGATCTGCCACTGCTAGGGTGCAACCATGTCCCTCGAAGATTGTAACTCATTTCAAGGGTTTTTAAAAAATTGCATTATTTCCAGTGTAAAGAAGCTGGAGATGAGTTAGTGTCCCGATTTTCCAACGGAATATATTTAAATTAAAATACACAAATGGTCCCTCATGTTTTAACAATACAAAAATTGGACTTGTTGCCAAACAATAAATTCTTGTCAAATGTTTTCTCTACCAAATTTATTTAGCCTTCAAATCCAACTTCTAGTTAGATCCTGTGGTGTGTTCCATTCAGTGAACACTGAACCACATCAAGGCACAAAATGTGAGTGTGAGGAAGGCTGCAAGGGTGGATAAATGGGGCTCTGTTAGCATATTTCTTTTCCAAGGAATTTCAGTACTTGTGTAGCACCTTAACCCCTTGTCACGCTGCCTAGCAGGGCAGGGACAGCCTGGGCAGTCCTGTCCCACCCCAGCCTGACGGGGGTTGTGCGAGGCTCGATGTGAGGGCTCCCAGCTGCTGGGTCTGAAACTTAGGATGAAGAGTGCAAGGTCAGGCATTTTAATTCATTAAAGTTGTGCAAAAGCAGCCATGGAAGATTTTCACATGAAAACTTTCTGAATTTCTCTCAGGCCATGGGATCATCCTGCTGTGTAGGCGTTCAGCAAATATTTCGCCCAGAAATGCCAAATGCTGTGTTTCAGCATGAGCTGATTCTCATTAGGAAGAAGTCTGGGTTTTTCAAAACTCCTGTGGAATGCTTTTCTTTTCCAGTGAGGAACTGGCTGCAAGCTTGCTTTCTGCAGGTGCCAGGGGAGAGCAGGAAGGAGACATGTGCAGCCAAATGCTTCCTTTTATGTGTCTTAGAAAAAGGAAGAATAAATCATCTTTCCTGGCCTTGGGAGAAAGGCACAAACAGCATGTGAAATCAGTTTAGTTTTTTTACAGTGGATTGACAAATGCTTTGAAAAATGAACAGATCTTATCAGTGGTGATATGCTGCCATTTTTATGAAATCCAAGCACTAAAAATAGACGAAGGGAATGAGAATATTGACAGCCAGAGTGGAGTCTGCCTGGTGGTGATTAGATGGGCTGTTATCTCACAGGAAAAGCCGGGGAGCTGAAGGACTCTGCTGCATCCAGGTGCTATTAGTGGTCCTCCACGAGGCAGTGGGATAACCTCGGTGGCCTCCCCGGGGCTCCAGCCCTCAGCAGAGTTGCCCCTCTTCAGCTTGGGTTTGGCCAGTTCCCAGCTAGTGCAAATAAGCACTGCCCAGGACCTGCAGTGCATCCCGTTCTTTGCAAGATGGGCTTTGTATTGCAAATAAACCTTTAATATCAGTGGGAACTGAAGACGCTTTCCCTCTCTTATGGCTGAGTCTTGGCCTTCTAACATGTCTTTCCGTGGTTTGGATAGCAACCAGCTCGACATCTCCCCAGCCTGCGGGGCCCTGGGGCATGTTCAGCTGCTCTGTGCTAGAAGCCACTAACCCAGGGCTTGGGGAACCAGAGAGTGAGTGCCTGCGGGAATGTGTTTGAACAGCCCTTTGGTGGGGACTGGTGTGGAGAGATGACAGAAACTTGTGTTTCTTCGTAGGTGAAAGAGCCGAATGCGGAACAACCAGGTGAGCAGTTTCTTCCACTTTGTTTGCTTTTGGGAAGGGCTGGCTCTGGCAGGAGGGTGGCTGTGGAAGGGTGGTTTGCTTTGCTGTTGATCCAGCTTGGTGGGGTTCAGATTGAACCGTTTTCCAGCTGTCCTGTGCGGGCAGGCTGGAGGGCAGGCAATCCCAGGCTCCCCACACCACTACCCTGCTGCTCACTGCGTTTCCTGAAGTGGATTAATTAGGGTGATGAGAAACGAGCATTTGTTTTTACTGCAGTGTAATTTCTAGCTGATGGGCTCTGACGTGCCTGGCAGTGCTGTGTCAGCAGCAGTGCCTTGTAGCGTAGCTGAAGTTGGGTTGTGTTCAGACAGGGCAACACAAGGCTGTCCACCCACTCCCTACCATCCCTGTTTGCTTCAGGACTTTGATATGCCCTGGAAAGCTTCTCCCAGCTCTGGCTTTGCCTAAAAGCACAGGGAATGCCTGTATTCAGATTTCCATCCCTCTACAGCAGGGGCTAGTGCTGGGGTGAATGTAACAGGGAGGAGGCTTTGATCTGTGTCCTGTCCGTCAGGCATCTCCACAGAGCTCTGGTGTCTTGTGAGGAGTGTGCTGGTTTTCCAACAGTAAGACGTGGGCCAGCAAAGCCTCCAAACTTCTCCCCAGAATGTGTACAACCTCTGTCTTATCTCTTTACAACCCTGTTTCAATGCTTAATAAAATTTGGGATACCAGCAAGAAACCTCCCATTCCCTGTTTGAAATGCAGGAGCAGATGGTGAAGCCTGGGCTGCCTGTCCCAGCAGGAAGGAGGCTGTCGTATTGGGGGGTGGCGGGGTGCCTTGCTCTCTGCCTTCAGGCTGGAGGGGACCTGCTGCTGCCAGGCTGAGTGGCCTCAGGGCTGGGCATCCTCCGGCGCTGCAGGGCAGGGCAGCGTGGTGCTGTCAGGACAAAGAGGGGCCTCCCTGCCTCACCCAGAGCGGGGAGCGGGGACTGCACAGCGTACAGCTGCGCCGATGTGCTCCCGGGAGCCGCTCTTGTCAGCGCTCCCAGGTCCCCTTCGGGTCAGCCCTCATGGCAGCGGCAGTCACTGCCTCTCCCCATGGGTCCCAGGAGAGCTGCCCTGTGGCACCCTGATGCCCTGGGTGCCTCGGGGGTGTGAGGTGAGCTCTGGTCCTTTGGGATGCTGGGCAGGGCCATCTCCTGAGCTGCTGGAGGAAAGCACACCCAGAGGGCACGGGGAGATCAGGGAGAATTTGCTCTTGAGTACTTTGTTGATCAGGAGTGGGTGCCCACAGAGCGATGGTGTCGGGGGCCAAAACAATCAGAGGAGTGAATAACAGCCCCCTCTGTGAGGGATGATGGCACAGCTCCCTGCTGCTTCTGTTCGCTTTTGTTTCAGCAGTTGCTTTTACTTCACAGAGGAACACAAACAAGAGACAGTCTCCTTGTGTGAGGCAGGGCTGGAGGGTAGGGACAACCTTCCCAGCAGAGACAGGCGGGGGCCAGGCTGTCCCACTGCCTTGTGCCCAGGCATCCCCTGGGGAGGGACATCACAGGGCAGCAAACAGCGCTGGTCTCCGGTCTGTTTGAATGTCAAACAGAAGTTAGTTCCGCAGAGGTGGAAGTGTTCCCACTTTCCTCTCCCTGGACATCTGTGAGCAGAATGAGGCCCATTTAGGATTGAACAGTAACATCCCAGTGTTTTCCAGGGGTAGCTGTGGTTTGTTTTGGCTGCATCAAGGAATAAGTTGAACTCTTCAGTTCTCTACTCGTGGTGCTTTTTCAGGCTGACAGAGCGCTGAACTGATGGAGGTGGGAGGCAGGTGTTACAAATCCTGCTGAGCACCAATGCCTTGGTTCTACTTCTAAAATGCCATCATAGAATCACAGACTGGTTTGGGTGGGAAGGGACCATTAAAGGCCATCCAGTCCAACCTCCCTGCAGTGGGCAGGGACATCTTCAAACAGATCAGGTTGCTCAGAGCCCCGTCCAGCCTGACCTTAAATGTTTCCAGGGATGGGGCTTCTACCACCTCTCTGGGCAACCTGGGCCAGGGTTTCACCACCCTCATTGTAAAAAAATATCTTCCCTATATCTAGTCTGAGTCTCCCCTCATCCCTGGTGAGCAGTGCACAAACACTGAGCAGCAGTTTTGGTATTTGACATCTCAGAGAGGGAGAATTGCACCTGCAGATCGTGGGTACCACAGACAGTTGTGACCAGTTGTGCTCAGCAGCTTTGCTACTGTCCGGCTTGAATGAGGCAAGTTCTGTATGAAGAGTGTTCCTGATCACCCATTGTTCATTCAGGCTGGGGTTGGTGTAGTTACTGCTCTGTCACTGTCTGATTTCTGAAGATGACTGCTTTTTACAGTAGAAACTAGGACTCTTCAAGGAGCCCCTAGCAACAGATAGTTAGATTGCTGTGTGTGGCTGCAGCTGAGGTTAGTCTGTCTGATAGGAAAATGCTGGAAGATTATGGGGTGGAAAGTAATGGGTAGGTTGGCTTATTGCTGTTAAATGTTGCTGCTACCAGGATTAATTTGAATTTATTATTTAAATGAAGGCTGTAGTCTTGACCTTGACTTGGAATTGTGTGCAGCCTGTAGTGAAGGGCTCTGATGGTGCTCGGGGTGCCTCCAGGTGAGCTCTGCTGCCTGCTCAGACACCTGCCAGCTGCACCCAGCTCATGGCCTGTGGCACCCGCAGAAGTGAGGCCGTTGCAGCACCCGCTCCAGGATGAGTTAGCCAAGCTAGTGCCAGGGCAGCCTGCCCCAGGCTGCTGGGAAGGGCTGTGGGGTAAGCAGGGAGGTGTGGAGCTGAGCTCTTTGCAGGTCCCCCGGCTCCCGGTGGAGCGGTGTCATGGTGGGGACGTGGAAGCGTGAGTGGCTGCAGAGTGCGTGGAACCGTGTGTCACGTCCTCGCAGAGGGATTTTTCTGTTTGATTTATTTCCTATTCTTGGTCATAACCTTTGAGATCTCACCCTATCATTGCATTTATGTTGGTGTTTTGTTGATTTCTTTTGTTCCATTTTCTCCCAGGCCCCCATGTCTTCCCCCTAAGCCACAGAAAATGAGGAGACCTAGGCCTCTCTCAGTCTATAATCATAAACTCTTTAACGGCAATATGGAAACGTTCATTAAGGTACTTGCTGGCTGAAAGTAAGAGTTTATGAACGCTGTGAATGTAATGGTGGCTTTCCTGTTCTAACTGCTGGCTGCTTTCCTTCCTCGGTGGGGTCTCTCCAGCCCACCCTGCACACAGTTGACGTGCCCAGCAGGCACTTTGCCTTGGTGACGATTTCTCTCCATAGCTGTCCTCGTCCCTTGTGTGTTCCTTGTGTTACCTGTCCCTTTGCCACCTGCGTGCCCAGGTGAGGGTAGCAGTGAGGGCCCTCGGGGCTGCGCTGGCTGGCTCTGCGGCACAAGGTGATCTTGGCTGAGCATCCCTCTCATCCAGCGCTGCTTCCACCCATCCTGGGAGGGAAGATCAGACAGCAAGGATAACCCAGCCCAGCTCCCTCAGTGAATCAACAAATTCTCCCACCTTCCCTTTTTCCACACATTTTTGGTGGTTTTCTTCCCCTGTGGCTGAGCAGGAGGGTAAAATGACTCATAAGGTCCCAGGAAGTGTCTCCCAGTTGTAAGGACTGGCAGCCTTGAGTTGGAATACCATGCACGTGGGTGGCTGTGTGCTCAGGTGGACGTGCTGTCCTCATCCTTAAGAGCCAGGGCTGTGGGCTTGGCTTCCAGCGTTGGAGCAAAGCAATTCCTGAACGGCTGCGGAGCGGTTTCCTCCAAACCATCGCTGATAACATGCAGAGTGTGGCGTTCAGAAATGTGGGCCAGAGTATTTTCTCAATTTAAGCTGGGGTGAACTCAGGTGAACTCAATTAATACCAGTGCAGTCCCAGGTGGAAGGGGGTATTTGGACCTACTCATCCCAGGAAATTACCCAGAAGGAGAGATTTGAGGAGAAAAATGTAGAGATGTGGGCGTGGGATTTGTCCCAAAGGACACCTCCAGTGATCTAGCTGCTGATCCTCCAAAATCCAGCACTTTGCTCCTGCCTGGCTGCTGGAAGGATTTCCAAAGGAAGCGATGCTGTTCCCGTTGCTCAGGGTTTAATCCTGCACTGAAGAAAGCTTTAGTGACAGTACTGGAGGAAGCAGTAATGACAAACTCTTGGATTAGGTAAACTAATGGGCATTGTCCAGCTCTGATTTATTCTCTTGGGCTCTCGTAGTGCAGCCGTAAGCCTGAGGGCAGTGTGTATAAACAGTGCACTGTCACCAGTAACATACAGCCCTGACTGACAAAGCCGGTAATCTCTTTAATACTTGTAATTATTTCTTACTTAAACTGATTTTTAAAAAAGTAATGCTCATTAAAGTCCAGCCTGTTCTGCACTATGGAGGAGGAATTAGCTGCAGTGGAAATCTCTGAGCGGACGGGTGTCCTGTGCCAGCAGAGGCTCCTCGGGGGACGGTGCCGTGCTGCCGGCGGGTTCCTCCAGGACAGGGACCGTGTGCCCGGGCAGGGCTGGCGTTGGCCTCGGGTCCTGCCAGTGCCGCAGGTTCAGGGAGGGAAGAAATCAGAGAGGCTGTGTCTGCGGTCACCGAGGCTGGGGTGCAGCATGCCAGGCAGGGTCTGGCTGGGAGGGTGGAGAGCCCAAAGCCTGCGTTGGACCGTGTGAAGCTGCCATTGCATTTGAGCGTTCATGGCCTCTGAAAGAGATACTTACCTCTAACTGAACTTATCCTTGCTTAATCTTTTCTTTTTTTCCCACTCTGCTGCTTTTTTGTGTTCTCAGAGGAAGGAGGAATGCGCGAACGAGAAATCAGGTATTTATGGGAGGCCCGTCTATGAGACAGACTAAATTAAGCAGAGAGATCCAACTGTACTCTGCTGGAAGGAACAACTAAAGGAAGCCCCTAAGGCAAACAAACATCCACTTAGGCAGTGAGATACAGCTCATGTTCCCCCTTGAGCTCCTTCCATGAGGGGCCCGGAGAGCAGCGGCTTTGAAACAAAAGCCAAAACTCATCACAGGTTCAGATACAGGCAATTTGTTTCACACATTGTAGTGTTCTGGTTTTTTTTTTAACATCTGCTGACAAGAGCTCTTTCTTTAGGTGGAAGTATTGTTGTAAGCTCTGTTATTGGAAGCTTATTTCATCATACAGGTATAGGACAAGTTTTATTTCAGCTCAACATTACACCTTTGAAATGGAAGAGCTGTGATCCCGTTGCATCAGTCTCCTGTCTCAACCAGATAGCGAGCAGCAGTCTTTCACACTCTTTACTGGAAGCTTTTTTTGTGCATAATTGACTACATGTAGTGTATTAATCACTTTTTGATGGCTTGATATGTGTAACACCTCCTTTTCTTGCCTGTCTTCTTACTAAACTCAGTGGCACTGATTTTCAAATCTCTTGTTTTTGCAATCTTTAATGCATTTACTGTGCTTTGTTATCAGTAAACCAGTAATTTTTTTCCTTTCCTTTCATGAAGGATTCAGGACAGGCTATTCCACTCGTGGTAGAAAGCTGCATTCGTTACATCAATTTGTATGGTAAGTTGATTCAGTAAAATCAACAGAAACTTTGTGCAAAGGAATTAAGTCCTTGTAGTTTGCAGTAAAACGTAGTAGAGATGCCCACAGCCCTCGCTGCGTGGGCTCAGGTTATAACTACAGTGACATGGACTGTGATGTAGCATTGAGTGACTGATGGGTCCTGTTAGCACTTACTCAGGGTAAATTCCTTGCTCAGGCCAACAGGAGCCCTTTCAGTGCTTTGATCTGGGGGCCTTGACTGGAGAACACGGGCAGAAATGGATCGTAGCAGCTGTCCCCCTCCTGCTCCCCAGCTGCATGGACTCCTGGTTTCTGCTGTTCTTTACCAGAAAGCAACATGTCACAGTTACACGGATCTTTCCTAAAACGTTGTTCCTTTCCAGGCCTTCAGCAGCAGGGCATTTTCAGAGTTCCTGGCTCCCAGGTGGAAGTCAACGACATCAAGAACTCATTTGAGAGAGGTGTGTTGGCAGGGTGCGCAGCTGGGACGCCGCGTCTGAGCAGAGGTGGTTGGTGGGAGTTTCGGTGTGGGCTGGGTGTATCAGACCTCGTGGGAAGCCTGTAATAAAGGCCTTTCTGCTGTGAGGTGCCATGAGGTTTTCTCCTCTTCTAGGTATCTCAGTATTGTATCTCCAGCAGTAGCAAAGACTCATTTAGAGAAACAGTATGTGAAGTAGTGGTGGGTGCAGAGATCTTTTCCACCGTCATTAATTAAAAGCAGGAAAGCCTCAGATGAGAGCCATGAAATAGTTTGTTGGGGACCCATTTTCCTCGTTCCTGCAGCAGTTTGTCAAGGGAGGAGCGGCGTCACCATGTGTACCTAGATGGACTAGATGATCTTTTGAGGTCCCTTCCAATCCCCAACATTCTGTGATACCTGGGGCAGTGGTGGTTGTGCAGTTGCCAGTGATTCTGTTGAGAAAACCACATTGAAGATGTAAGGCTGGCAGGACAGGGCAGAGCAATCCTGCTGTCACCGACTGACCGTGCAGCTGTGAAGGGGACAGTCTAGATGGGGGTAATGGCCTTCATGGCATTAATCTTGGAGCAGCATGGAAGGATTAGGGGGAAGGTGGCCAGGCCAAAGAGTAAGGCAGCGGTGAGACTGTCAAAGGCTGGAGGATTTGCACATCCAGTTGAAGAGGAATCAGTACCCAAATCCTTAGGTTTTGAAAGCCTTTTGTAGATTTGATCAGTACAATGCTATCCAGAATCGTTCGGTCTATTCCAGAGGCATAATTAGGTTCTCCAGCCAAGCCTCTTCCCAGGCGTTCACCCACCATTGTTTAGATCTGCTCAACTCTCTTGAGCTGTTGCCTTAAAAGCAAAAATGCACTGGGCTGGAAACTGTGAAGGAAAACTGATTAATAGCATTCTCATCTTCAGGAAGGACTGAAAATCTCCACAATAAACTGGGTTTTTTAGGTGGCATGTCTCAGCATGATGCTGTGTAACAGAGTACCTTATTAAACTCTCCTCTTGCTGGCAAAATGCTTAGCATTACCATTCCACACTCAGGAGGGGTTTCTGAACTGAGGGAAATCTTGGGTTTCCACTGAATTAGTAAAAAACACATTAGTCCAACTTGATAGTGATGCTGGAAATAAAAACTCTTCTCTGAGCAGGTGAAGACCCCCTTGCTGATGATCAAAACGAACGTGACATCAATTCAGTGGCTGGAGTCTTGAAGCTGTATTTCCGAGGACTGGAAAACCCCCTCTTTCCTAAGGAAAGGTTTCAAGATTTGATATCTACTATAAGTAAGTACATGTGACAGCTCTTCTCAGAGTATAGGGTGGGACAAGAGAAGCAATCAACAAGGGGCAAGTACACGTGAGTTTTGCAAGTAGCAGCTCTCGTTGTAGGAAGGGCTGTAGGTCTGCAGCAGAGGTTGTTAGGAAAAGACATGAAGAGTGTGTATTGGCGGTGCTGGAGGTGGGGCAGAGGTAAAACCTCTTGCTATGGCTCCTTCAAATTCTTCCTGGCATCATGAGGATCACCAGAGAGTCGTCTCCAGGCTTAGGCCAGGGGGCTGCACAGGCTGCAAGCCCATGTACACATTTGTGGGTTGCACGAGGGGCGTTAGTTGTGTGAACAGGGTTGGCTGCTGTCCTGCCTGCACAGATCTGTCCCTCACGTGTCAAGCGGCCGTGGTTACTGGGACCCAAAGGGGCTTTGCTGCTTTAGCTCAGTGTCTTCTACTAAACATGGTGAAGGTCAGTAACTCTTGGCTACTCACCAAGCTTCTCCAGCCCCTGAGGTCTGCAGAATTGCTTTCAACCTCACTTGATCAGCTGTTCTCCAGGTCTTTGCTACACATATTTCCCGTCCCAAAGAAAACCAGAGAGTGCTTTGGGATGTGAGCAGGGGTAGAAGCAGAGGGGTTTAATCATGAAGTGGATTTGATGTCAGAAGAGCCTGGTTGCTTCTTGTTCTGTGCTGAATTCTCCTCCCAGCTCCACTTGTTCCTCTGCAACTGAAGAAACAGATATCCCAGCTGGGGTTTATTTCTCTCTCTACCTCGTAGTGATGACATTTGTTTATTGGCAAGTCATGGAGATTACTCCCCTGGGGGAAAGGAAGAAGGCAGGATGGATGTGAAGTTTCAGAGACGATGGAGGAGCATGTTGCACACTTTGGCTGCAGGATGATGATTTTACAGGAGAGGCACTGGGGTTGTTTGGGTGTTCGAGTGTCTCTGTACGTGGGTAGCTTCAGGGCGACTGGCTGGTGAGCATGTGCTGAAGTCCTCTGTTTGGCTTTCACTGCTTATGGCTCCTTCCCCCCTCCTTGATGTTAATGTGCATAACTGCTAGAGATGTAACCATGTTGAGAAAGACAGATGATCTCCAGAGGGGAGTGACGCAGGGATGAGCTTGCTCCAGGAGGAGAAGAATTTCCTCCTCTTTTTCAAGAAAAGTTGTTTTTTGTAGTAGCTTTAGGAAATTCGCTGTTGCCGTTCAGCTTTGCTGTGTAAAGCAGCGCAGCACACCTGTAACGTGGCAAACAAAGGAAGCAGTTTCTGCAGCAGTTTCGTGCCTGGACAGGGAGTTTCAGCCTGACTTGCAGCACTTGCTCCCGCTGCATCCCCGAGGGGCTTGTCGCAGGCAGAGCAGGAGCCTGAGTGGGCACAGCCCGCAGAGAAGGGGACGAGTCCCCTTTGGTGCCAGGAAATGTCCTCAGTGTGCTTGCAGATAGGCTTGTGCTTTGGAACCGTCCCTAATCAATGCCAATTTGCACAGTTTATTAAGCATTTGGGAGCTTTTCATTGCAAACATCACCTGTTAATTTTCTGGATAGTATTCTCTCTTTCTTTATTTTTTTCTCATTTTAGCCAGAATCTTCCTTTTCCTCATCTTTCCTTTCTTTTCCTGCTGCTGTTGCTACCTTTTGATTAAAAATGGATTTAAAATGAATTCAAGTGCCCTGTTCCCATTAAAATTCTGACTTTAAGTGCATCTGATTTTTCTGCCACATAACTATAGGCTGTATAATAGGTGTCCCAACCTAAACAGACAGAAGAAACCTTCTTCCTTTGAGCACCACTGCTCAGTAAGATGCCACCCTTGCTGGAGGATGTTCTGTCTCATTTGGAATTAAGGCAGAAAGGTTAAACGCAGCCGAGCGGTTTGGGCTGCCCAGTGCAGAGCATCACAATGCCACCTGGATTTCCCGTGGCTCCTGGCAAGGTTCTGTGAGCGAGTTTTTTGTGGCAGGTGCTGCTGTACATGTCACAGGGCCTCTGAGTGCCTCTGGGGCTGGGGAGCCAGGCTGGCTGGTGGCAGGTGACCGGCTGGCTTTGCCTTTATCCTCACAGGGGACTGAGAGTTTCCGTGGAAGCGTTTCTCAAAGGCACATGAGAAATAGATGGATAGAAAAGGCACTTTGTTTGCTAAGGTTCATTCAGGGGTGTGCCTGTATTGTCAAGTGATTGATGATTACTCCATTAATTCCCCTGAATTACAGCCAGTTGAAACATTTCTGTTAGGCGAAAAAAGGCATGTGCTTCAAGACAACTTGTTCCTCTGGGTTTCAGAACAGATATCTATTGTTTTATCCAGTTCTTATTTATTTGATTTTTTTTTTTTTTAAACAAATGTCTTATTAAGTGAAACCAAACTGAAGAAGTAGAGAACCCAGTAAGTAATAACAGGGGATAAGTACATTCCTCAAAAGGAAAGATTTCCAAAATGGATTATTATAATGATTTCAGTCTTTGGACTGAAGCCAGATTTTGTTCAGAACTTTTGAACAAATGGCAGCCCAGCTACATGTTGTCAGTGAATTTTCTTGATTAGCAAATGTCATGTCAAGTTTGAGCCAGCGTAATAAAGTAAGCATCTCTGCACTGATGTGGCTTATTCCACGCATCTGAGCTGGCTGCTCTCAGGAAAGCTTTGGTACCCTCTGCTTTCTGTAAAACAGAAGCCACAGGATTAACTGTCTGCAGAATATATTGAACAGATACTAGCTTAAAAAAAAGAGCAGCTTTGGGGGCTGGGATGTGCTGGCAGCTGCTGCTGGCGCGGCGCTGAGCCCCCTCGGCGGGTCGGGGCTCTTGCAGGTGAAGGGGCTGTGGCGCGGGGGCTTCGGCATCATCCGTGGGGGCTGCGGGAGGGTGGGGGGCACTGCAGGGCCCCCCACAAGTGAGCTCTGAGAGCTCCAAGGCACCTCCTTCCTGCAGAGGGAACCTGGTTTCTGACAGCAGCCGTGGGCTTTGTGTGCTGCTGTGGGGAGAGTGAACCTGAAAGTGCTGACTTGGACCCAGTTCCGATGAAATTCCCGTTCATACCAGTGGAGCAGAGGGGCTGGGGAGGACCTGATGGTGAACCTGGAAGAGTAACGTGAATAAAAACCCTATTTAAAAATCTGCACTAGAAATCCAAGCAGTGTTCTGCTTTCCGGTGCCACATTGACTGAAGCTTTTGAGAAGTACAGTAGTTGTTGAGGGGTGAACTAAATAATGTAGAAACAGTTATTTTAAAAATAAACCCATGGAAACATCTTTTTTTGCTGTTTATGTGGAATCTGAACATAGGTATGAATTCAGCCCTGGAAGAGCACTGTACCTGATTCTCTGCTTGCACTTTAGTGCCAAACCAGTGGATCAAATCTGGAAACAAGCTGTTGTTTTCCTTGCCCAGTGGGCTACTAGATCTGGGACAAGTCCCTCTGGTGCTGTGTTGTCTGGTCCTGAGGAGGTTTAAAGATGTGCTTTCTGTCCTTGTGTTCCAGAAATTGAGAACCCCACTGAGAGAGTGCACCAGATCCAGCAAATCATCGTCACTCTGCCCCGGGCTGTCATCGTTGTCATGAGATATCTTTTTGCTTTCCTTAATCAGTGAGTCTTTTTTTTTTGTTTTCTTTTTTCCCTCTTTCACTGAGTTTCTCCTTGCTCTCCTTTTTTTAAGGGCTTCCCTGTGTGTTGCGTGAGTTCATTTTGGTATTGCCATGGAGAGTTGTGTTTTGCTCCTTCCTCAGGCTACAGGAGGATGTGTTCAGCTCAGTGGTGATGACTTTCTTGGGTGCTGGGGGTTTGGTGGGAGATTTTTCTCAGCGAACGGGGTAAGTCAGCACCGTGCCTCCCTAATGCTTGTGCTTGCAGCTTGTCGCAGTACAGCGATGAGAACATGATGGATCCCTACAACCTGGCCATCTGCTTTGGGCCCACTCTGATGCACATTCCAGACGGGCAGGATCCGGTGTCCTGCCAAGCCCATGTCAATGAGGTCATCAAAACCATCATCATTAACCATGAGGGCATCTTCCCCAGCCACAGAGAGCTGGAAGGACCTGTCTACGAGAAGTGCATGACTGGAGGAGAGGAGTACTGGTAAGGAGCTGGGGCAGGACTTCGTTGCTTGCAGAACTTGGAGCCAGATCCCCTTGTTAGGGTGTCAGCACAGCGCTGGGGTGAATTTGCTCCTCTGCAGAAGGGAGATGCCTTTTTGCGTGTGTTCCTGTCAAATGTTATGAATTAGGTGTGCAATGATATATGTTTGATATGCTTGTGCTGTTTTATACTGGTTAGGAATCTTGCTCCATACCAGGCTGTCTGCATAGTTCTTAGTTAGAAATACCTTCATAAAACTAGGAGGATTTTGCACACCTAACCAATTAGTCTCTATTTGTATACATCAGTTTTGCTCTTCATTTCAGCCTTGCTAGTGAAAACAGCAGCAGTTACACTGAGTTTTTATTTTCATTTTTCTCATGCTGACTCAGCATCACAAACCTAAGTAGAAACTTCAGGAGAAAATTGTTTCCAATATGAATATTAATATTTATAAAATATCTTCTAGCTGCACATTCACAGAAGTGTGTTCTGAGCAAAGCAGAATTTTAGGTCGGTTCTAGCCAAATTCCTTTTAGGCTGGAATTTTTGGGTAAAGTTCCATAGCTCTATTGTAATTTGCTAATTGGATGAAATCTCTTAGCCCGAAGTTCAGCTGAACCTTCCGGTTCCTTTTGTTTTGTCCATGTTAGAGGACAGGTGAGTTTTCATCGGCCGGGGGTGGATCAGTCCCGTGTGATTGCATTGCATCGCATCTTTCTGGTGCGCAATTTGCCCTACTTGGCATACCCAGGGTAGGAAAACTGAATAAACTCCCACATCAGAAGTGTAAGTGATACTGCACGTTTGTCTGGAGGATGCTGGAATCCTAAACTGACATTCACATCCAAATTTTAACAAACCAGTGTTTATAACAGATGTGAACTGATTTGTGTGCAAGTTTCATACATTTCTGAGACCTGATCTCCCCTGATGCTGATCACCTGCCACCATCTTACTGATGCAAGCGAAGGGTAAAATACTAAAACTCACTGTGAATGAGTGAGTGGAATATTTTAACTTGGTGTCACTTTATATTTGTTTTGCCAAATACGAGTATGATGCATGAACAGCAGGAAGTGATGTTCTGGGCCTGATGATCATGGTGCAAGTGTCTGCTGTTCTCAGAGCAAGTTCAGAGATCTTCTGTGATTTAAAATGACCGTCTCAGTCCTATAAAAAGTAAAATCATAACTCTTTCAGGTGTCACTGGGGCCAGAATTTCCCTCAACAACTTACTTTTGCTAAGTGCCTTGGCAACAGAAGCTGATTCTTTCTTTGAAAGCACGGTGTGTTTTGTTTCAGTGACAGCCCACACAGCGAGCCGGGCACCATCGATGAGGTTGACCATGACAACGGCACGGAGCCACACACCAGTGATGAAGGTGAGCACAGAAAACTGGGTCTGTGTTAGGGAAGCTGTGCATGCAGGAGAGAGCCCCCACCTTGGGCGCTGGACTGGGGTCTGGCACGTCAGTGGGGGACAGTGTCTGTGTGCTTGGTAACCCATGTGCATGTTAACGAATGTAGCTTGTAGGTTCTGATCCTAGGATGTGCATGGACCTGCTCAGTGCTCTGACTCCATGGCAGGGGACAGGGGTTGGTTTTTTGGAGATGTTCTATGAGATTCCATTAATCCCATATATGACCTTTTCCTTTTCCTTGTCATCTGCTTACCTGCAGCCCTGTGATGGTGAAGACACGCTGTGTGAAATGGCTCATGAGAGCAGGAAGGGAGATGGGGAGCTGGCATGGGGGGGACCATCTCTGTTCACCCCGGGCCCTTGGATGCCCTTGGAAGCGAGGGGTGTCCCAGCAGATTTTTACGCTGTGGATCATCCCCTCTTGAGCAGCTGTCTCCTTGACAGAAACTAGATTCGGGGGAGCTGCAGCCTAGTTTTCCCCGCAGCCAGTTCTGTTTCCTTTGGTGATGAAGCACTTGCCTGCTCGTGCCAGGCCCATGGAGTGGGCCGGTGTCGGGGGGCAAAGCAGGACATGTAGGGAGCCAGGACCGTGTGCACGGGTGCAACTGGGTGTGAATCCCCTGTAACTAACTGGGTGTGAATCCCCTGTAACTGGATGTGTCATCAGGGTTTTGTAACGCTCTGGGCGAGGCTCAGGTCCAGCTTTCTGTAAGCTCCTGTCTGCCTGCACCTCAGTGTACACCAGCTCCGAGTTTGACACACGAGCTCTCAGGAAAAGCTTTGAAGCTCATGGTGATGGAAAAGGCAAGTGTGGAAATGGGAGTGCTGCACAACTGGGCAAGAAGCCTGTTTGCTCAGGGGCGTGGTACTGAGGCAGGAGGAAGCACTGAGCTTCCCACACCCAGAGGCACCGGCAGCTCAGGCATGGGGCGAGTCTGGGAGACCCCACTGCACTGCTGGGGTGTGAACGTGCAACCCCTCGGCATCGCCTGACGGCAGCACTGTGCCGTGTGGAGGGGCACCGGGGAGCTGAACGCTCCCTCTGCTTTCCTGATGGGCACTGCTTCCTGGGGTCTGTCCTGCCCTGGCAAAACACTGATGCCTTCCGAGGCGGGCAGGCGGCAGGGGGCTTGCCCAGCTGGTGGGCACTGTGGGGAGGGGAAGGGCACAGCTGGGCCAGACAGCTCAGGACCTGCTTTCAGCTGCAAACAGGAGCTGACAGGACGGGGAGATGATGGAGAGCAAGCTGCCATTTAGCCAATTTTATGCTTGGACAGTCACATTAATAGCTCTGATGGGAGTTTCTGGGTGATTAACTGCGGTGCAAGTGTGGAGAAGAGGAGCAGCTTTATTTCCTGAATTTACATATTCCTTCTTTGCCTCTCCCTTGGCCCGTGCACCCTCCCTGCTGTGAAACTCGGCATTTTATCAGGGCTGTGAGAGCCCTCCTGGCTGCCTCCCCGGCTACATTTCTTCCAGAGCATTCCCTGTGGATCCTGCTGTAGTGCTCCCAAATGCCCTGCTGCTCCTCATGGTGTGGAGGTGTGCCTTAAACTGGGGAAAATCAGTCTGCTGAAGTGACCTGTCCTGTCCCACCTGAGGTGGGGAATGGGACAAGGGTCTGAGGCAGCATCTCCCTTGTCCGATGTCTCCTCCTCTGTGTGGGTTTTGTCCCTGAGTAGAGCCATGGGTCACATCCTGATTGCTGCTGATGCCCAGGCTGTGGTTAGTGATGAGGCAGAGGGAGCACAGCAAGTTTCTGTGTTTTCAGTGAGAACAGGACAGATCTGGAGGAACTGGGCAGATTTACCCTGTTTAGCTTTGTCATCGCCTGTCTGCCAGTCTCCAGGTGGGGTTTGAAATGATCGAGTGTCTCAAATAATCAAGGCACATTAACTGCTTGCTGGCTGGCTCTGGTAGTGTCCAGAGGTAGTTGTGGGGGGCAGCCTGCTTTCTCACCCCTGTCTCGCAGCAAAGTGAAGTGCAGTGCAAGTTGTTCCTGTCAGTGCAGAGAGAGGCTGTCACTGCTCTGCAGTCACTGCAGCGGTTTCTCTGGGATTCAGCACTCCCAGCTGGAAACTGATCTGAGGAGGGATGGGCTTCTCACTGCCAACCAGGCTTCCCTTTGGGTGCACCAGCAGCTGCTGCTGTGAGGCCCTTGGACAGGGACTCAGAGATTCCTGGTGTGCTCACGACCTCCCAAAGTGAAGTCCTGCCTCAGCCCTCTTAAATTTCAGGCCCCGAGCTCCCAGTTTGGGAATCCCTGGTGTTCGATAGAGGTTAACTCAGAAAAAGTGGAGGAGAGCGGTGAGGTGGAGTGCTGGGAGGGTCTGCAGATGTGGTGTGTGGTGCAGAGCAGCTGCCTGGCCAGAGCTGGTATCATTGTTTCTCTGGGGATCCCCAAAGGGAGATTCGTTACTCATCAATAATTCAGGCCAAACTGTCTCCAGGAGAAGGAAAGGAAGAGAAGGTAAACAGGGCTTTGATCACAGTATCTGACACAGCTTGACAGGATCCCAGTCTGGAGGATAATGGGGTTCTGTAACCAAGGAAATCTTTATGGGTAGAAAATGGGAGTGTGGGTGACGATGCCATATGCACACAAGGAAATTTCAACTACTCCCCATCTGGTTTGTAGCTTTTATAATTGCTGGTAGTTTGTGAGTCTCTGAGAAATTCCAGGAAGGCTGGAAGAACAAAAAGAATTGATCAGTCTGAAAATAAGGTGGTTTGTACTCGGTGTAAGATGCTCTTGGGAAGCCAGGGCAGCAGCAGCTTTAGTGCTGTTCTGGTGAGATGCCTCTTTCCAGGATTTATTGTGCCCTCGTGATTGTTGAACTAAGCTTTTCTCTGTTTCTGCTTCCTTCCTTTGCAGAAGTGGAGCAGATTGAAGCCATAGCAAAGTTTGACTACATTGGACGATCTCCAAGAGAGCTCTCCTTTAAGAAAGGGGCCTCGCTCCTCCTGTACCATCGGGCATCAGAAGACTGGTGGGAAGGGAGACATAATGGTGTGGACGGCCTCATACCCCACCAGTACATTGTGGTGCAAGACATGTGAGTAAGGTGGTGTGTGTTGATCCAGGATGTTACAGTCACGTGTGCAAGGTCCACTGTAGCCGCCTAAAATAGGTGGTCAGATTTTCCCAGGTTTGATGACTTTGGTGAGAGATCTGGACCTGTTCACATCTGCCCCTCTGTGTATTGGCTCAGACTGTGTCTCATTCAGGCTGATAAAGCCAAGCACCAAATACGGTACTTCAGTGTGCCTGACCCCCATCTATCACTGACTCCTCAAAGTGGCACACTCCAGGCTTAATATCGACCTTGCTCCCTGTGTACATTGACCTGGTATTGTTCAGTGGCCACCAGCCCTGTGGGCAGATCCCAGGGTCCTTCGCAGATGCCACTTGTACCTGGATTCATGAAATGGCAGCTACATTGCGGGGGGATATGGAGACGTGATGTTCCCTTTTGCAAGCTCCAAGCACTGTCTGAAGTTGCAGCCTTGGTCCAGCCCTTTGTCAGCAAAGTCTGGAGCTGCTGGAGTGGGGATGTTCAGATCCATGCTGCGGCTGGGCCCTGCCCTGTCTCCTGGGGCAGAGCCCTGTTGCTGATGGGGGTCTCCTTTTCCTAGGGATGACGCTTTCTCCGATAGCCTGAGTCAGAAGGCAGACAGCGAGGCAAGCAGCGGACCGCTGCTGGACGATAAAGCCTCCTCCAAGAACGACATCCAGTCTCCAACAGATCATATTGTGGACTATGGCTTTGGGGGAGTACTGGGCCGGTAGGGAAACTCTCATTTTCCTATGAACACAGAGGTGGTCACTGCCATGTGCGGGGAGAGTCAGTGTGTGGTGTAGGGCAAGACAGGAGGGGAGGCTCCAGTACACACTGCAGAGCAGTATGAGCACGGAGGGGGTTTGCATGTGCATTGCTGATGTAGATCTTAACAAGTAACAAAGGCACAATGCTGTCCCTTTCTTGCCACTGGCTAAAATGTCTGTCTTCCCTCTTGCCTTAGTCTTCTGGAGCTGAAAGGCTCGAGTTCGGTTTGATCTGAACTCTGAGAGCTGAGCCATTCTCTTACAGCATGCAACCAGACGCTTGCGATCTGACGGACGGTGACCTAGTCTTGTGATGGATTCTTTGCAGAGTGAGATTGAGGTCTGACGGTGCAGCTATCCCTCGCCGTCGAAGCGGGGGGGACACCCACAGCCCGCCCCGAGGGATGGGTCCTGGCATAGACACTCCTCCTCGAGCAGCGGCCTGTCCTAGCAGCCCCCACAAAATACCTCTTAACAGGGGCAGGATTGAGAGTCCTGAAAAGCGCAGAATGGCGACATTCGGCAGTGCAGGCAGCATCAATTTCCCAGACAGGAAGGCCTTGGCTGATGGCCACCCGCTGAGACCGACCTGTGGATCGACTAGACACAGTAGTCTTGGAGATCAGAAATCTCTAGAAGCAGAAGCGCTTGCTGAGGTAAGAGGGTTGTGAAGTGGCTCTCGGTGCCCAGGGATCGAGAGGCTATAAAATGAAAATCACTTGGGTAGCGCCACAGAGCCCCTTCTATCTCAACACCCCTCAGAGTTACAGGCTGTTGTAGCTGTGGCCCTTTACAGACAGAAACGAGCAGCTGACAGCTTGCCTGCTTTTCCAGCTGTATGGGTTGGTCTAAAAGGCACTGCCTCCCTCCACGGACAGACAGGCACTGCCTCCCTCCC